ACCACTGTACCACCGTATATACCACTGTACCACCGTATATACCACTGTACCACCGTATATACCACTGTACCACAGTATATACCACTGTACCACCGTATATACCACTGTACCACTCTCTCAATAGGCCAGCCTCTATGGATTCTCTCCTACGCGGGACAAATAATTCGTCCCAGGTGGTTGGATTGACTAATAACCCCCCTCTCCTCTCTGGTCCCCCTCCCTCTCTGGTACCCCTCCCTCTGATCCTCCCTCTCCTGGTCCCTCCCTGGCCTCCTTCCCCTCTCCCTGGTCACCTCCCTGGTCACCCTCCCTCCCTGGTCCCTCCCTCTGGTCCCTCCCCTCTCTGGTCCCCCTTCCTCTGGTCCCCTCCCTCCCTGGTCACCTCCCTCCTGGTCACTCTCTCCCTGTCCCCTCACTTCTGGTCCTCCCTCTCCCTGGTCCTCCTCTCTGGTCCCTCCCTCTCTGGTCCCTCCCCTCCCTGGTCACCCTCCCTGGTCACCTTCCTCCTGGTCCCCTCACCTCCTGGTCCCTCCCTCCCAGGTCCCCTCACCTCTTGGTCCCTCCCTCCCTGGTCCCCCTCTCCCTCCCCAACCAGAACACAACACATTCCGCTGGACGGCCTGGGGATGGCTGAGGGAGGTGGGGAGAGGGGGGGATGTGGAGGAGAGAGGGGAAGAGGTGGAGGAGAGCTATTTTTACCCTCGGTGAGTTGTCTCCGTTGGCACAAGGTTGGGGGTGAGGGAGAGTGGGAGGGGGAGAGAGGAAATCGTGGCTGCCTACCTGTGACAGATGTTTGTGGTGGTGGTGGTGGTGGTTGGGGTTGAGGTAGGTATTGGTGGTGGTGATGGTAGTGGTGGTGGTTGGTGGTTAGATGCGTATTGGTGGTGGTGGTTGATGTAGGTATTGTTAGTTGGGTGGTGGTGGTGGTTGGATTGAGGTATATTACTAGGTGGTGGTGGTGGTTGGTGGTTGAGGTATATTGGTGGTGGTGGTAGGTGGTGGTTGGGTTGAGGTAGTATTGGTGGTGGTGGTGGTTGAGGTAGGATTGCTAGTTGTGGTGGTGGTGGTGGTGGTTAGGTGAGGTAGGTATTGGTGGTGGCGGTGGTGGTAGGTATTGCTGGTTGTGGTGATGGTGGTTGTGGTAGTAGTAACGATGATGATAGTGGTAGCAATTGTAGTAGTCGTGGTACAAACAACCCAAAATTATGGTACAAACAATAACTTACAGCCATGGTACAAAAAAAAACACACAAATCAAAACAATGGCTACTTATCTTATCTTAACGGAGGTCAAAGGTTTAAAAATGTCAACAACAACAACAAAAATATTCCCATTGATCAAGTTGTAATTTAAGTCAATTTAGACATGACTGGCACAGGTATTTGTTAGCTGAAGTGACTGACCTACGCCAGACACACACACACACACACACACACACACACACACACACACAGCTTCATCAATATTGTCAAGAAGTGCCTCTATCCCTACCGTGTCACTTCCTCCCTACCATGTCCCTCCCTCCCTACCGTGTCCCTCCTCCCTACCATGTCCCTCCTCCCTACTGTGTCACCTCCTCCTCCCTACCATGTCCCTCCCTCCCTACCATGTCCCTCCTCCCTACCATGTCCCCTCCTCCTACCATGTCCCTCCTCCCACTGTGTCACCTCCTTCCTACTGTGTCACCTCCTCCCCTACCATGTCCCCTCCTCCCACTGTGTCACCTCCTTCCCACTGTGTCACCTCCTCCCTACCATGTCCCTCCCACTGTGTCACCCTCCCTACCATGTCCCTCCTCCCTACCGTGTCACCCTCCTCCTACCAGGCTCACCTCCTCCCTACCATGTCCCCTCCTCCCTACCATGTCCCTCCCTCCCTACCGTGTCACCTCCTCCCCACATGTCCCTCCTCCCTACCATGTCCCTCCTCCCTACCATGTCCCTCCTCCTACCATGTCCCTCCTCCCTACCATGTCCCTCCTCCCTACCATGTCACCTCCTCCCTACCATGTCACCTCCTCCCCACTGTGTCACTCCTCCCTACCATGTCCCTCCTCCCTACCATGTCCCTCCTCCCCACTGTGTCACCTCCTCCCTACCATGTCCCTCCTCCCCACTGTGTCACCTCCTCCCCTACCATGTCCCTCCTCCTCCCTACCATGTCCCTCCTACCATGTCCCTCCTCCCTACCATGTCCCTCCTCCCACTGTGTCACCTCCTCCCTACCGTGTCCCTCCTCCCTACCATGTCCCCTCCTCCCTACCATGTCACCTCCCTCCCCACCTGTCACCCCTCCTTCTCTACCATGTCCCTCCTCCCTACCATGTCCCCTCCTCCCTACCATGTCCCCTCCTCCCTACCATGTCACCTCCTCCCCACCATGTCCCCTCCTCCCTACCATGTCCCTCCTCCTACCGTGTCACCTCCTCCCTACCATGTCCCTCCTCCCTACCATGTCCCCTCCTCCCACCATGTCCCTCTTCCCTACTGTGTCACCTCCTCCCTACTGTGTCACCTCCCTCCCTACCGTGTCCCCTCCTCCCACTGTCCTCCTCCCTACCATCCTTCCTCCCTACCATGTCCCTCCTACCGTGTCACCTCCTCCTACCGTGTCACCTCCTCCCTACCATGTCCCCTCCTCCCTACCATGTCCCTCCTCCCTACGCATGTCACCTCCTCCCTACCATGTCCCCTCCTCCCTACCATGTCCCTCCTCCCTACCATGTCCCTCCCTACCATGTCCCTCCTCCCTACTGTGTCACCTCCTCCCACCATGTCCCTCCTCCCTACCATGTCCCCTCCTCCCTACCATGTCCCTCCTCCCTACTGTGTCACCTCCTCCTACCGTGTCACCTCCTCCCTACTGTGTCCCTCCTCCCTACCATGTCCCTCCTCCCTACCATGTCCTCTCCTCCCTACCATGTCCCCTCCTCCCTACCGTGTCACCTCCCTACCATGTCCCCTCCTCCCTACTGTGTCACCTCCTCCCTACCATGTCCCTCCTCCCTACCGTGTCACCTCCTCCCTACTGTGTCACCTCCTCCCTACCATGTCCCTCCTCCCCTACCATGTCCCTCCTCCCTACTGTGTCACCTCCTCCCTACCATGTCCCTCCTCCCTACCATGTCCCTCCTCCCTACCATGTCCCCTCCTCCCTACCATGTCCCTCCTCCCCCACCGTGTCACCTCCTCCCTACCGTGTCACCTCCTCCCTACTATGTCCCCTCCTCCCTACCATCCCTCCTCCCTACCATGTCCCCTCCTCCCTACCATGTCCCCTCCTCCCTACCATGTCCCTCCTCCCCTACCATGTCCCCTCCTCCTCCCTACTGTGTCACCTCCTCCCTACCATGTCCCCTCTTCCTACTGTGTCCCTCCCTACCATGTCCCTCCTCCCTACCATGTCCCTCCCTACCATGTCCCTCCCTCCTCCCCTGTCCCCTCCTCCCTCTATGTCCCTCCTCCCTACCTGTCCCTCTCCTTCCTGTCCCTCCTCCCCTGTGTCACCTCCTTCCCCTACCGTGTCACCTCCCTCCCCATGTCCCTCCTCCCCTACCATTCAATCACCCCTCCTTCCCTCTCCCTCCTCCCTCCCTACCGTGTCACCTCCTCCCTACATGTCCCTCCTCCCTACCATGTCCCCTCCTCCCTACCATGTCCCTCCTCCCTACCTGTCCCTCCTTCTGTGTCACCTCCTCCCTGCATGTCCCTCCTCCTACCACTTATCCCTCCTCCTCCTGTCCCTCCTCCCTACCATGTCCCCTCCTTCCTACCGTGTCACCTCCTCCCTACCATGTCCCCTCCTCCCTACCGTGTCACCTCCTCCCTACCGTGTCACCTCCTCCCTACCGTGTCACCTCCTCCCTACCATGTCACATCCCTTCCTGACCATATATCTCTCTTCCTCCTTCTCCTCCACCTCTTCCCCCTCCCCCTCCATCCCCCACCAACCCTGACCACCTCATAGCAGGACCTTGACACTACACTATTAATGAATCTTCCCCTGTGACATAAACAAATGAGTTGTATATGTGCCAGTAATCCTCCCAATGTACTGTACTAATTCTTTATCATTTCTTAACTGTTAATAGACGTGTGTAATAATTAACGTTGTTTTGCGTGCTTAAAGACCTCAGTTGTTGAAGAGCAGTAGAGTAGAACACACTTTATTTAACGAACTATATGGAGAGGAAAGTCCGTTATATCCGGGGGTCCGTTATATGTACAATTTCCATTTAACGAACGATAAAAGTATGAAAGTCCGTTATATCGAGGGACCGTTAGATGTCTAGCTTCTATTTAACGAACAATAAATATATGAAAGTCCGTTATATCGAGGGTCCATTAGATGTGAAACCCCCATCTTAACGGATTAATATGAAGAGAGTAGTCCGTTATATGGAGGCTTCACTGTACAGCCATTACTAACATCAATTTGCTAACACGACCATTGGCCTCTCGCACCACCCATCATAAGAGCCTGGAGAATACAATCACCAACTCCTCTCCTTCCCTGTTAGCCGCAGTAATACTTCAGTGCTTCGCCTTACAACGAAAACAAAAGGGTGCTCAATAAACTAGCCCCAGCGATGATGCGTGGGAGGGGGAAAGGGGGGAAAGAGGGAGGAGGGGGTGAATCTGTATCTAAAATCTGCATCTCTTGTGTATGTTAGTATGAGGTAGTCCAAGGGTTAGTTATGAGGAACATGTGAGTGGAAAGTCATGCAGGAGAGAGGGGCGAGGGGGAGGTGGGATGGGGGTTAGGTGGGAGGGATGGACAAATTGTATGATAGGACAAAAAATATCTTGGTGTGGTGGCCATTGTGAAGTATTGCACGTGAAGTGTCTTAAACATTGAACTTTACTGTGTGTGTGTGTGTGTGTGAAGGGGGATAAACGGACGAGAACTTCACCATAAGCCCTTAGAAATTCGTAGTGACTCACCGAGCACTGTATACGGTGCTGATGGTGCTGATAAGAACATTTTTCCTCTCTTACAGTCATCTTCAGGCGGGGAAGAGGATGGTGAGCGAGCAGGCCAGGACAGCAGCACTCTAGTACACCGCGAGGACGCAGCTTACAACTTCGACTCTCGATCCGCGGAACTCACGCTCCGAACTATCGAGAATGATTCCCGATTTGACGAGAAACTACAGTTAAACGCACAACGACATGACGACAAAACCCAACTGCACTTAACACGAATCGACGACACGCTACACTTCAAAGGCCCGCTGCCAGATGAGAACCATGTCGGCTCCCACACCACCAGTCAAAGTCCTCCGCACAATCCTTTCTTCGGGACGGAAATAAACGGCTCATCAATTACACACAATGGCCCAAGATCTCTTGACTTCAGCCCGACACTACTGGAGAATGGCGCCGACACCATCAGATCCCTGGAGAGTGTACCGTGGAACATTGAAGGCACGGAGACCATCAAGGAGAACGGCTGTAAATCTCCACTCAGGAAATGGTCAGAGGAAACACACGGTTTGACGGGGGAGAACGGCCAGGAGACACACGGGCTGACGGAGGAGGCGGAGCTGAAGCACGCCAAGGAGGAGAACAAGAAACTGAAGGCTGCACTTAAGGAGGTCAGTGGAATTATCATGTAACAACACTTCAAACTTTCTTCATCACTTCTACCCCCCCAAAAAATATTCTCTCACTTTTATCGTCAGTAGTAACTTAAAGAAACAGTAGTTATACTTATGTGCTCTTACTTAATTACCATAATTGATATTGTTATTTAATGGCCATACATACATACAGACAGACAGGCAGACAAAACCCCATACAGAGAAAGAATATTCAGCTGTGTTATACTAAACATGTAAAATTTTGTGGATTTCATTTATAAAATTTGACACACGTTAAGCCCCGTCCACACTGGGACTGATGATGCGCGCCGTGATGCAGACGTTTGATGCGCGTGGTGATGCAAAGGAGGGAGAGCGTCCACACAACACCCACACCAGTCGTTGACTTACCCAAGAGAGAGAGACACAGGACGCTCGGGTACAGGAGACTGTGGTGGCTTTATGTTGTGCAAAAAAGAAACAAATATGATGTCCAAAGTGGCTATCAAGTTGCCACATCCCGCCTCTAAAATGCCTCGCTCCAGAGTTCACGCGGCCTCACGCAACACGAAAAATAAGCCAGTGCAACACCTTGCGCATCAAGGCGTGCATCAAGAGTCCCAGTGTGGACGGTTTACTGAACATGTCATAGAAGGAATTATGTTATGTGAGAGTGACAAGAATTTTTTCCTTCCCAGGCAGCTGAGGTGAACGGACAGTGGCGCCACTACCACGAGCACCGCCAGAAATACGTCCAGCGGCTACTGTCCACCATCCAGGAGTTACACCACCCCCGCTCCGCCACCCAGGCCTCGAGGCAGGTGAGTGTTGCCCCGCCACCCCTGCCCCGCCACCCAGGCCTCGAGGCAGGTGAGTGTTGCCCCGCCACCCCTGCCCCGCCACCCAGGCCTCGAGGCAGGAGTGTTGCCCGCCAGTGCCACCCAGGCCTTGCCCCGCCACCCCTGCCCTGCCACCCAGGCCTAAGGCAGGTAAGGGGTTGCCCCACCACCAAGCCCCCAAGGCAGGTAAGGTTGCCCCGCCACCCAGGCCTTAAGGGCAGGTGGTGTTGCCCACCCCAGGCCTGAGTGTTGAGGGAGTTGGGCCCGCCACCCAGGCCTCAAGGCAGGTGAGTGTTGCCCCGCCACCCAGGCCTGGCAAGGCAGGAGTGTTGCCCCGCCACCCAGGCCTCCTAAGGCAGGTGAGTGTTGCCCCGCCACCCAGCCTTAAGGCAGGTAAGGTTGCCACCCAGGCCCTCAAGGCAGGTGAGTGTTGCCCCGCCACCCAGGCCTCAAGGCAGGTGAGTGTTGCCCGCCACCCATGCCTTAAGGCAGGTGAGTGTTGCCCCTGCCACCCTGGCCTTAAGGCAGGTCGTGCTCCTGCCACCCAGGCCCTCAGGCAGGTGAGTGTTGCCCCGCCACCCAGGCCTCAAGGCAGGTGAGTGTTGCCCCGCCACCCAGGCCTTAAGGCAGGTGAGTGTTGCCCCGCCACCCAGGCCTTAAGGCAGGTGAGTGTTGCCCCGCCACCCAGGCCTTAAGGCAGGTGAGTGTTGCCCCGCCAACCCCGTATTACATGAGGCTGCAACCAATCATAATCAACATACATGCATCCAATCCATGGAAACTGTCTTACCAAATCCTCAGTATCGTTCCTAATCTAACCTGAACTACAACAAACCCAATTCTGGATCTGTGAATCTTCATCCAATCAGCTGAAGACGGCTGTTCATCACATAAACCCCAATCATATCAAGACACAATCATTCAGTCAATCAAAATGTCCAAAATCAAGCATAGTTACGTCTTTACCGTCCAATTGGCTGAAGCAAAATATTCAAAAGGTAGCAACCAATAAGCATCGAGATACCTGTATTCTCAACCAAACAGCTTATGGTGGTATTTAACTATCAATAAAAACAAGTGTAAGTGTGTGTGTGTCTGTCTGATTTTGTCGTGTTGTAGGTTGAGGGCGAGGCTGGTGCACCCGAGGCTGAGGTGCGACGCCTGAGGGAGGCGCTGACGAAACTACAAGCTGACCACGATGAGCACGTCACACTGTTGGAGATGCAGGTACTGTGCTGGGTCGTCCTCCTCCTCCTCCTCCTCCTCCTCCTCTTCTTACCCTTCATCCTCTTCTTCTTTCTCCCCAACCTCTTCGGCCTCCTCCTACTCTCCTATTTCTTCCCCTCCTCCTTCTCTTACTTTTCCTCCGACTTCTCTTACTCCTCCTCTTCCTACACTTCCCCCTTCTCTTCCTCCTCCTACTACTCCTCCACTTCCTCTTCCTCAGTTGGTTCTGTTACTCCCACATTACGAAAGTTTCAACAATAACAACCACAACAATGACAACACTCAACAACCACACTAACAACCTTCAACCATAACAGAAGCAACAACAACCACCACAGCCTCCTTACACCAACATCCATATCAATCAACCAAAACGCCACCAAAATAACAACCACAACTCACAACATCTGCAGTAATGATATGATGATGACATGGGTTCAGGTTAAACATAGTTATATTTACACAAGGTATAGCCAAGCGTGGGCGGCCGTGGGCGGAGGTGTGTCTATATATATATAACCCACAACAACGCTATCACAGTCAGACAAATATTGCCAGCTTCTGTTAGGTTAGGTTAGGTTAAGATAAGCTGAGTTTGGTTAGGTTAGGTTAAGATAAGCTGAGTTTGGTTAGGTTAATGAAGACAACACCTTACTTGATTATGAGTCAGACGTACGTGTGTGTGTGTCATGCCTGCTGGCCAAGATAATATGCATTAGTAGGGCCAAATAACCATAAGCAATGTAACCATTTGGCCATACAGATGTGACCAGGTGGTAATGAAAGAGTGTGGCCAGGTGGTCACGGTGTAGTGGCCAGGTGGTCAGTGTAGTGGCCAGGTGGTCACAGTGTAGTGGCCAGGTAACTATGTAGTGTGGCTAGGTGGTCACAGTGTAGTGGCCAGGTAACTATGTAGTGTGGCCAGGTGGTCACAATGTAGTGGCCAGGTGGGCCGGGAGACACACACACCCACGCCGCTCCTCCTCACAGGTAAATTTAGTTTGGCCTAGACTGTTTATATCCCTTGACTCACCACCTTGGGACACCAACCTGGGACACCACCACCACCCTGGGACACCACCTTGGGACACCATCCTGGGATACCTTGGATAACGCCACTAACATACTCCTCACTCCCCTCCCTGCCACTAGCCAAGGTGGATGACTCAGGTTTTAAATGGGAGACGTATACGGCGCATATTGTTGTTGTTGTGGTAGCGATGGTGGTGGTGGTGGTTGTGGTGGCGTGATGGTTGTGGTGGTAGTGATAGTTGTGGGTAGTGATTGTGGTGGTGGTGATGGTTGTGGTGGTAGTGATAGTTGTGGTGGTATTGATAGTTGTGGTGGTGGTGATGGTTGTGGTGGTAGTGATAGTTGTTGTTGTGGTGGTGGTGATGGTTGTGGTGGTGGTGATAGTTGTGGTGGTAGTGATAGTTGTGGTAGTGCTGATGGTTGTGGCAGTGATAGTTGCTTGTTGTGGTGGTGGTGATGGTTGTGGTGGTAGTGATAGTTGTTGTTGTGGTGGTGGTGATGGTTGTGGTGGTGGTGATGGTTGTGGTGGTAGTGATAGTTGTGGTGGTATTGATAGTTGTGGTAGTGATAGTTGTTGTGGTGGTGGTGATGGGTGGTGATGGTTGGTGGTGGTGGTGATGGTTGTGGTGGTGGTGATGGTTGTGGTGTGGTGATGGTGTGGTGGTGGTGATGGCTGTGTGGTGGTAGTGGTGAGTGTTGTGGTGGTAGTGATAGTTGTGGTGGTAGTGTAGTGGTGGTGATGGTTGTTGTGGTGGTGGTGGTGGTGTGATGGCTTGTGGTGGTGGTGATGGTTGTGGTGGTGGTGATGGTTGTGGTGGTGGTGATGGTTGTGTGGCTGTGGTGGTGGTGATAGTTGTGGTGGTAGTGATGGTAGTGATGGGTGGTGGTAGTGATAGTTGTGGTGGAAAGTGATAGTTGTGGTGGTGGTGATGGCTGTGGTGTGGTGATGGTTGTGGTGGTGGTGATGGTTGTGGTGGTGGTGATGGTTGTGGTGGTGGTGATGGTTGTGGTGGTGGTGATAGTTGTGGGTAGTGAAGTGTGGTGTGGTGGTAGTGATAGTTGTTGTGTGGTATGGTTGTGGTGGTAGTGTGTAGTGGTGGTAGTGATAGTTGTTGTTGTGGTGGTGGTGATGGTTGTGGTGGTAGTGATGGTTGTGGTGCAGTGATAGTTGTGGTGGTGGTGATGGTTGTGGTGGTGTGGTGTGGTGTGGTGGTAATGATAGTTGTGGTGGTATTAATAGTTGTGGTGGTGGTGATGGTTGTGGTGGTGGTGATGGTTGTGGTGGTGGTGATGGTTGTGGTGGTGGTGATGGTTGTGGTGGTAGGATAGTTGTGGTGGTGGTGATGGTTGTGGTGGTAGTGATAGTTGTTGTGGTGGTGGTGATGGTTGTGGTGGATTGATGTTGTGGTGGTGGTGATGGTTGTGGTGGTGGTGATGGTGGTGGTGGTAGTGATAGTTGTTGTTGTGGTGGTGGTGATGGTGGTGGTGGTGGTGATGGTTGTGGTGTGGTGATATGGGTATTGATGTGGTGGTGGTGATGGCTGTGGTGGTGGTGATGGTTGTGGTGGTGGTGATGGTTGTGGTGGTGGTGATGGTGTGGTGTGGTGGTGGTGGTGATGTGGTGGTGGTTGTGGTGGTGGTGAGTGGTGTGGTGGTGGTGGTAGTGATAGTTGTGGTGGTGGTTGTGTGGTGGTGTAGGTGGTGGTGGTGTGGTGGTGGTAGTGGTTGTGGTGGTGGTGGTGGTTGTGGTTGGATGGGTGTTGTGGTTGTGGTGGTGGTGATGGTTGTGGTGGTGATGGTTGTGGTGGTGTGGTGGTTGTGGTGTGATAGTTGTGGTGGTGGTTGGTGGTGTGGGGTGTGGTGGTGGTGGTGTGGTGGTGGTGGTGGTGGTGGTGATGGTTGTGGTGGTGGTGTGGGTGGTGGTGGTGGTTGGGTGGTGTGGCTGTGTGGTGGGTGGTGGTGATGGTTGTGGTGGTGGTGGTGGGTGGTGGTGGTGATGGTGGTGGTGGTGGTTGTGGTGGTGGGGATAGTGGTGGTGGTGATAGTTGTGGTGGTAGGGTGGTGGTAGATGGTTGTGGTGGTGGTTGGTTGTGGTGGTGGTGGATGGTGGTGGTGGTGGATGGTTGTGGTGGTAGTGATAGTTGTGGTGGTGGTGGTGGTGGTGGTGTGGTTGTGTGGTAGTGGTGGTGTGGTGTGTGGTGGTGGTGATGGTGTGGTGCTGTGGTTGTGGTGGTGATGGTTGTGGTGGTAGTGATAGTTGTGGTGGTGGTGATGGTTGTGGTGGTGGTGATGGTTGTGGTGGTGGTGGTGGTGGTTGTGGTGTGGTAGATGTGGTGAACTGTATACCTGCTTTGTCTATACACATGTTGAACTAAATGTATATTGATTTGTATGTCGATTTTACTGAACATCTATCTATCTCTCTGCAGGTCCGCGCGCATAGAGACGACTGGGAGGCAGAGCGCAGCGAGAAGCAGGCCACACAGACTGCACTGGGAGAGGCGCAGGCTAGGACAGCCTTACTCCTACAAGAGCTACAGTTGCTACAGGCCAAGGTACTCTATCCCCTCTGACCTGTAGTTCATCCCCTTTAACCTGTAGTTCATCCCATTTAACCTGTAGTCCATCCCCTTTGACCTGCAGTCTACACCTTGACCTGTAGTCCACCCCTTTGATCTGTAGTCTACACTTTGACCTGTAGTTTACACCTTGACCTGTTGTCTACACCTTGAACCTGTAGTCCACTTTTTTGACCTATAGTCTACACCTTGACCTGTAGTCTACACCTTGACCTGTAGTCTACACCTTGACCTGTAATCCACCCTTTTGATCTGTAGTCTATAACTTGAACTGTAGTCTATACCTTGACCTGTACTCTACATCTCGACCTACAATCTACACCTTGACCTGTAGTCTACACTTTGACCTGTAGTGTACAGCTTGACCTGTAGTCTACACCTTAACCTGTAGTCCACTTCTTTGACCTGTAGTCTACACCTTGACCTGTACTTTACATCTCGACCTATAATCTACACCTTGACCTGTAGTCTACGCCTTGACCTGTAGTCTACACCTTGACCTGTAGTCTACGCCTTGACCTGTAGTCTACACCTTGACCTATAGTCTACACCTTGACCTGTAGTCTATACCTTGACCTATAGTCTACACCTTGACCTGTAGTCTACACCTTGACCTGTAGTCTACACCTTGACCTATAGTCTACACCTTGACCTGTAGTCTACACTTTGACATGTAGTCAAAATTTTCACTTGTAGTAGATTTTAATACACTGTGAAACGTAGATAATGTAGATTTTAAAATAGTTAGAAGTAGATTAAGTAGATATTTAAGTAGAGTTAGAAGTAGATTAATCAGTATAACTATAGGTAGATGAAGTAGATTATTAAAGTAGAATTAACAGTCGATAAATGACCACGTAAAATGTGACGAGAATAAAATGAAGGGTAACAGACGTTGAATTTTGCAGCTAGCGGACAGCGAGAGTAAGAGAGGGTTGTGTTGGAGGTGTGGGGGGCTGTCCAGTGGTGGGAGTGGGGGGCGGCCTAACAACCCAGCTCCCCCACCTACCACCACCTCCACCACCACCCCCAGCACCACCCCAACTCCCGTTCCTCACCACAGTGCTCCGTCCTCCGCCCTGACCCCCTCGCCACCGTCAGGCTCCAGTGCTGCTACTGCTGCCCCTACACACGATGTTCCCCAGGTGAGTGTGTGTGTGTGTGTGTGTGTGTGTGTGTGTGTGTGTGTGTGTGAGGTAGTAACAGTAAGTGTAGTACACAAGACACAACACTAAAGGTACGTGTGTTTCAGGCACCGCTCAAGGGGTGGATCCCAGTCTCCATGCTGCACCACATCGCCTTCAGTGGCGCTACACCCCAGCACCAGACGCCCGTGGTGCAGCGCACACAGCAGTCATCCCGCCACCATCAGCCACACCAACACCATCAACAGCAGCAAGTGGCCACTAGTGCGCCATCCTCGAGGTCGACCACCCTCAGCAACAGGAGAGGAGAGGTGGAGCAGCCTCCAACGGCAGAGTGTGCCGTCGTCCGTGGGTCTGGCAGTACCGCCGAGGTGAAGGCTCTCAGCCCCAGGAGAACTTGTGGCCCAGAAACAAAAAACTTAGGGACTACAGACGATAAGAAAAAATACGAAGCCATGGGGGCACGACCTAAGGTCCTGGGTAACCTGCAGGCAGTGACAGGTAAAGGAGTCGGATTGTTGGAAGATGAGAAGACCGCCAAGCACCGTGCCCGCTCCATCCTGGCGAGTGCCATCCCTGTGTCTCCCGTCTCGAGTGGTCCCTCGACGCCGTGTGGCACTAACATCATCAAGAGCCCATCCATACCCAACATGCCCAAAGGCTACATGCCCATCACCTCCACCGTCCTCACTCCCATCAACTTCCGCTCACCCTTTGTAACTCACAAGCGGCCTTCAACCATCAAGCAGGTGGCCCAGGCAGCTCAAGTTTCTCTCCAAGTTTCCTCCAACTCGAGCAGCTCCTCCACTTGTGGCCATGGACGCAGCGGATCGTCACCTACCTCCATCGGCGAAGCTCACACCACCACCACCACCACAGACAGCGGTGGCGGCCACACCACACCTACCAGCAACACTACCTTACCCTCTGACGACACTAACACCACCACCACATCCTCTGCCACAGTAAGTAAACAAACCAATAACAAAGTAATAACAACTCAGCTAAATGGTAGAATCAAGTCTCCAGTCGCAGTAAACCAAGACAACAAACTCATAAAAGATCACAGCAGGAAAAATGATAGAGAGAGCAACACGGCAGCAGCTGGAAATAGAAGAAGCGGCTCTGCTTCCTCCCAAGTCAATAAAAGATGTCAGTCATCAGACGAAACAAAATTAGTGACCAGTGTTCCTTGCTCCAGCCTTACAACGGTTACCACCACAACTGCTTGTAGCAACACCGTCACAGTATCTTGCTCAAGTGTGACAACAGTCACCACTACGGTATCTTGCTCATGCCCGTCCTCCGTCACCACCTCCACCTCCACCTTCAGTGGCTCAGCTGTCAACACTGAAACTGCATCCACTACTATGGCTGGTCAGCCCTCAAACAACAGTGTAACTTGCCAACCTTCTAATAACACAACCTTTCAGTCATCCTCTAAGTCCAACAGAGGACCTAAAACAACGTCTAGTAATAGTACGGTGACTCAGACAACACCCAGCGCCACAAAGGTGTCACAGCCTTCCAGCAGCAACACTGTGGACTCTCATGCTCCAGACAACAACATTAATAATTCTGTAGTTTCACAAAATGTATCCAGCGATGGGCTACCTTCTGAGACTCCCTCCAACAACACCTCCTCCTCCTCCCCCTCCCAGTCCTCCAACACGTTCAACAACACAACAGCTTTCGCCTCCATTACGGTGACCACCACAGCTGCGGGAACCAACGTCCCTTCTGCACCTTCTACTTACTCTTCGGCCACGTCTTCTCGGTCTTCGTCTCCTGGTATGTCTCTCACCACCTTCGGTCTAAACTCAGAAGGACGAGGTATTCCAGGGGCTATATTCTTTGCTCTTGGGTCTGACCAGAGGGGAGGCCGCAGTCCCCAGCCGTGTACCTCTCCACGCAGAGCATCCAACGCTTCAGTGGGCGTGAAGAGCCCGACACCCGACACTGTGGCTGCTGATTCTGGTCCCACGCAGAAGGATACTCTGCCACCCTCGGGGGTCAAGAGCCCTCCAATAATACTGAACAGCTCCCTGGCGCCAGCCACAGTCAAGGAGGAACACTGGTGGTCGGTGGAGAGTCCAGGCCGAGGCAGCACGCCAGGTCGCCAGCATTGTCAGGGCAAAGTGGTCAACTCCACATGGGTGAGGCTGATGGGAGGTCAAGCAAACAGCCGCCAGGGCTCAGGTCTGCCTTGGCGAACTGCTCGAGCTGTGTCTGGCCAGCAGCTGAACCAAGCTCGGCGGGCTTCACAAGACGACTATGGCAATGGACCACTGTCGCCCAGCAGCGTGTCGTCATCGACGGCCACCTTCAACTATACTCCCGCCGTCAACTCTCCCCCGTCTTCCACACTGTCGTCCGCCACTAACTCCGCCGCCTCATCACCGCCACCCTCTCTCAACCAGAGGTCCAGTGATGACCTAAAATCCATGGCCTCCAAAAATATCGCCTCGGCCATCATAAGTTATGAGCTGGGAGCCAAGTGTGAGACCGTTGCGTGCCCTCCGGGACAAGGCGGGTCCCAGGGCACCGACGGTGTGGCCACACTTACTCGCCGGGACCTAGTGTGTCCCTCCTGCCAGATGCTGTTCCCTCCCGACAAACACGTCCATTTTCTCGATCACTTCGAGGCCTGTCGGGGCCCCGAGTACGCCGACCTCTGAAGAACACGAGACTACCAACAACAGTTACTAAACAAAATGCATACAAACTAGCTGATGGGTGGCGGTCTGCTCACTAAACTAGTAATATGTTGGCGCCGCTGACACCCACTTGTCTTCCAGGTTTCTCTGGAAACATTTACTAGAGTTTCTGGGATGGAGAGACGGGTGGATGTACACTTGAAGGGTTGAAGAAGTCTTAATGAAGTGCTAGAGTTCACAAGCGTGTAGCGTTGCCCACTTGCGAGAGTCCCTCGCCGGGCTGTGCTGCAGATGGACAACAACACTACCACACTGCCTCACGACATTACGAAGGAATTGTCTTTATCCCGGTGTTTAGCTTCAACCTGTGGGAGGCAGGACACTCACTTCACACATCTCCTAACTTCCGCCGCCTCTCCCGATGCCCTCTTCTCCCTCACACCTTCACGCTCTTACTTTGTTACTTATACTCATCAACCACAACTTTTCCTCGCCATCCCCTTACAACTACGGAAGAAGACTTGTACACCGAATAATACACTTTGACAACCCATCCAAGAAACACCTGTGGCCTATAACACACACACACACACTATACCTTTAATTTCTCATCTTGTCTCAATTCAACTTCTACATCATTGTTTTCCTGTTACGAATGTTTCTAATTCTCTCTTTCCTTCATTTTCTCTCAATCACTTTCTATCTATCTATCTATGTATCATTCTATACCACTTCTCTCCCCTTTCTCTCGTGTTTAGTAGTTAATAAAAAAAAACATTCCTTATATATTTATGTCGTGTGAGATATTTCCTCCTTCAATATCTACTTATATCCTCGAGTCAGTTCGCGGATGTTAAGGTACTGTGCGCGGTGTTGTGTTCGCAGCTTACCTTCACCTCGCGCAACGTGGTAACTCTTGAAGGAGTGGACGATTTACTTGAAACTTAACAGGGACAATGATCCCCCAACACTGATAATAATAATAAGTATTATTTGACCATTTTGTAAACACAAGAATAAACCTAGGCGCACATTGAGACGCAGGCGACACAGAAGGCGCAGCACAGGGCAGTGCAGAAAACTGAATCTAGTTATCATAAATCAGAGTCCGCACATTGGGACGCAGGGCAGCACAGATCAGCCACAGGCCTGTGTCGGGCTGCGCGGCTCAGTGTTTGAAACTGATTTCTGCTCCACGCCTGCACGTGTCCGTCAGTACAATGGCGTCCTCCGAAGAACTCATAGAGGCTGTACAAAGTGGAAGAGTCTTGGATGACACTAGGCATCGTAATTACATGAAGGACAAACTGAAGGAAGAGATATGGGAACGTACAGCTGAAGCTCTCCAATATAAAGACGGAAATAGTTGCTAAATCTTGCATCAGAGAATTCTGTTGTTCAGGCAAATTCTCCCTGTGTACTTCTTATCTCCATGTACTGTACTTACTTTTCCATACTGACTTCTTTCCCTTGCTGCTGTCATATAGTAGCATTAAATGTTCCATTTCGGTATCCAAGTCAGATTCTGAATTAATATCTAAATATTATTGCAAGCTAGCCATGAGCAGCACAGCGGAGAGGGTACCACACGCCACGACAGACTGCTTCTCAATGTGTGCACCACACTTATGCTGCCCTGTGCTGCCCTGCCCTGCCTGCCCTGCCCTGTCTGTCCTGCCCTGTGTCTGCCCTGCCCTGCCGTGTCTGCCCAGCTCTGCACTGTCCTGTCTCTCAATGTGCGCTTAGGTTAAGGCTGTTCTGGAATGTATTACGTTATCGACTTTACACGAGGGCAAATATGTAGACTATTATTATTATTATTATCTTTTTTTTATTATTATTAATATTATTATTATTATCTTTGTTTTATTATTATTACAATTACAAGTAATGTGTCTTTATGTCTTTATTGTTTGTTTCTTTTATAACGTTAACAAAACTATGTCATTGTCATCTTTATGTTTAGGTGTACAGTACATCACACAATCCCTCACACACCTCACTCCCTCACCACCAACACCTCTCTCCCTCACCACCAACACCTTTCTCCCTCACCACCAACACCTCTCTCCCTCACCACCAACACCCCTCACTCTCCATCCAGCTGTATACACGATATCTTGACCATAATATTAATAAATTTTAACCTAACCTACATACCCTACCCTAACCTAATAGAGGGGGTTTGGTGCGACATGGCTGGAGGGGGGAGGGGGGTACTTCTTCATCTTTATAATCAACCTTTATTTCTTATCATTACCCCCCCCACTTCACCTGTCCTCCTCATATACACGCTTACAATTTTCTTTATTTAAAACATTATTACTCTATGCGCTATCTCTCTCTCTCTCTCTCTCTCTCGCTATACTTGACCTCTGTTCTCTCTGTTTACCTCTCTATCTACTTATCTGTCAATTTATCTATCATTTTATCGATTTATCTGTCAATCTATCTATCATTCTATATATATATATATATATATATATATATATATATATATATATATATATATATATATATCATTCTATATATTTATCTAGCATTCTATGTATTTAGCTATCATTCTATATATTTAACTATCATTCTATATATTTGTCTATCAATCTATCTTTATCTAACAATCCTTTTTTTCTATCTATCTATCAGTGATCTACACATTAACAGACCAACATCATCATCATCACCACAACACAAGCCTCGCCGTTATCAAGGACAAGTGCTGCCTCTCAACTCCCATGAGACACACGCCGCACAGAATTCCAACGTTATACCACCACCATATATAAACCATTTTAATTCATTTATCTGTATTTAATTTATTTATATTTAATTTATATATTTAATTTATCTGTTTAGTAGTTTTAAGAACATAAGGGGAGGGAGGAGCGAGATAGTTACCATAGATACGGTCACGTCATCCTGCTGACGTCATTTGTGCCTAGTGTTTTTTGATTGGTTCATGGACGAAAAATGATACTACCCCTCCCCACCGTGACCCCACTTGCTGCAACCTGTGACCTCACGTACTGACACAATGACCACACCTGTTGACCCCATCTACTGGCTCAAAGACCTCTAACCTTACCTACTGACTTAATGATCTCTGACCTCACCTACTGTCTCAATGACCTCTGACCTCCTCTACTGACTCAATGACCTCTTGTTGACTTCACCTACTGACCCAGTGACCCCCTACTGACCCCACCTACTGACACAATGGGGTCACGGGTGGCACAAGAGGGAGTGAAGCGAGGCGAGGCGTGTAGAGTCTTGATATACTATAATGAGGGCTGGTTGATGTATATAGTATATAGAGTTTGTTAATAGCTATATAAATAATAAGGTGTCTTTGTCTATATTACTGTATATCGGTGGGTAAGTTATATCATGTGTCCTCGTGTCAATTGAAGTCCTCGCTAAGTCACATGTTGTTGACAAAGTGTTTCTCTCTCTCAGTCACGGATATATGTGTATATATTAAAACTATATCAAGAATGTATTGTTTGACTTGATATATACCTGACCTACTGTACTACACGTTATAATGGATTAACTGCAGGTAACTAATGACATTGTGTGTGTAACATCTTTTACAAATACTTGAGGAAATACTTGAGTCTCTTATATTACGACGATTACCAGTGGGAAAGAGCAGTAGATGACCATAAGTTCTTAAAGAAGTCTAACACATCAATCAATAAAAGCACTGAAGTGTCCTGTACAATATTGGCAGTACGTAATATTTAAGCATCCATTTCCCTCACACTAATACTAATGCTCCTTTTAACAGATTTCCATGATTATTAAATGCATTTTTGGCTTACGCTATTCTTTTAATTTCTTTTCCACTTCGATCATAACAGCTTATATTACTTCCCAAAATAAACAAACTTTCCCACCTGTTTAAGTTCCTCTCATCAAACATAATTTTGATTTTAGAATTTACTTTCTCTTTGTAAATCACCATTACTTGTCTTAACAGCATTAACTCTAAGCCCACACAGTCACCATTTTCCTCTAATCTGTTTAAAAGTTTTTGTAGTGTGTCTTCACTATATGCAGTATCATCTGCATATCGAATATTTTTTATTACTTTATCATTCACTTTAATTCCTTCACTACTGCTTACAACTTCTCTTATCGAAAATTCTGTATAAACATTGAACAGTGTTGGGCCGAGCCTGTATTCTTGCCTAACTCCCTGTCTAGCCTTAAACCAACTAGGCTTCAGGAACATAACCCACTCACACGTCGGAGCATACTTCAATAATCTGAATTCCCATCTAATGAAGGTTGGGTTTAGCGATGTAGGTTAGGAAGTGATGGCAGGCTTGGGTAGGTTAGATTTGGTTAGAACGCATGCGAATAAGATGATAAAGAACATGATCTTCATGTTTCTACAAAAAAGAAACAATTATTTATTCTAAAATAATTATAATAAAAAAAAACATCAACCGCACTTGCAAACATTTGCTCAAGGTTGCAGCCAAAACTTGAATTATTTTTTAATAAATTATGTAATACAGTACAGTACTAAGCCATACTAACCTTTATTATTGAGAAGACCCCTTTCAGCGTTGTATGTTTCAGCTTTAGAAATCCTTGGGTCGCTGGCAACTGATAGATTTACAGTATTACAGGTATGGCATCTGGCTTCACATCTTGGTAATTTTTGGCCGAATCACAACACAATAATTTATATTCAAGATTTCGAACTTTTTGTTCACTACTAAATTGTTCACAGATCACTGAATTCTTCACATTAATTAAGTCTGATCTACAACAAGCGTTGCATCCGTAGCCCATATATCCTTATAATTTTTCTGCATTGGAAATGAGTGATATACAGTATTGGAATAGCATCTCTCCCTTGAGTACTGTACACTCGTATTATTCGCACTATCAGTAATTAGCTATTACGAGTTAATAAATCTGTTTTTTATTGGTGCAATTCCAAGTTCTACTTTCAGATATAGTCACCTGATTATAAGAAATATTGGTAAATTTGTATAAGTGCATCCAACTCTGTTAGAAAGTCAAAAATATATTTTTTCTAGTGTATTTGTGTGTTTAGACCGATTATGACCTTCATTTCCTTCGGAAATTGGCCGGGTTTTTTCGATTTTTTCTTTTTTCGTGGGGCGTTTTCCGAAAAAAAAACATAATGGCTAAGCGAATACAAAATACAAAAAAAAAACACTAGAAAAACATAAACCTGACCTGACCTAACCTAACTAACTCACTATATGATGGAATCACGTATTTCTTACCTTATTGGCCTGGTTCTAGTTCGAGTTACCACAATGCCACATATGTTGGTCTTGACGATATTTACATTCGTTCTTGCACTTAGGACACTTTACTGAGGTCGGGAGAACACCATGAGATCGAAAAAATTTTATAGTTTCTTCGTTTTTTCCCCAAAAAATCGCAATCAGCTCCATATAATTGAAGTAACACCCATGGCAGACTTCCATGATCGGAAATGAATTTGAATTTCGAAATATGAGACCCAAAATAAAAATCGAATTTGATTGGGCCAAAAATACCGCGAATTAAACCACAAATCATTTTAATTGGTTGCAAAAAAAACACCGCTTTTGATTGGCCGCGTGACGTGTACGGGAACGCATGCACGTGATGATTTATGAAGGAGACCCTCAGTGTGGGAGGTGAGGTAGGCGATAATGGCGGAAGATTATTGGAAGAAAATAGAAAATTTTGGATACGCTATCTCCATTATTATACATTTGCGACGGTAATGTAATATAAGAAAATTATCTTAAAATTAGAGTCTTATTCGAATATGATAATAGATTAGGGGTAGGAATGTCGGGTGCGAAAACGCAATAATACAGAAATATTTAGATTTGCACCAAAATACACTGTTCTTCACTGCTTTAAACCTAAATATTTGTGCACCAGTATCAGTTTCCATGCTGACGTCATGTTCCAATACGCGGCCTTCTTTAAGGGGCTACCACACCTGTGCATTTATCTCCAATTTACTGTCTCCGAAAACGGACTATCACACACGCACCTCTTGCTTATTCAGTCCTATAGCAATCTGGCATGCTGTGTTAAGCCACGACACCTATTTCTACTCCTCATCTCCATCCACCTTTTGTCCTTCCACCGAAACGCCTTCACTCGTCCCTTGGGATTTATATATGTCCACCTCTAACACTGTGGAACTCTTACGGTTATGGTAATGGGTATAATTCGACAGTACGAACTATTTCCTAATTTCTTAATATGTGAAGTTCCTGCTTCTTTTTTCCACAATATACTGCACACTGGTAGCCATTGTTGAAGCTATGCGCCATGTGGTAGCGGTTTGTTTTGGTACGTAAGAACATGAATCAAATGAGTTTATTTTATTTTCAAGTAAAAATTAATTAAGCCGTTAATATTAATCCTAGTCTTCATTGTTTGCCAATTATACCACGTTAAAGACAAAAGTTATATTAAAAATCAAAATTAGTAGTTTAATATGACCCTGGTCATACGTCCAGATTATATGGAGGAATCCGACCCTTATAAAACGAGTTGAAGATCGGCGAAAATAAGCTGGAGGTTGGAGTGAAATGTGCAAGTGTGATAGCTCCTTAAAGAGGTTTAGCTTTCTATATTGACTCACGACCATCACAGACATGGCAATGTAATGAAACATTTTTCAAAGATATTAAAATTATTTATTATCTTCCAAACTTAATCAGAATGTCAAAATAATATCAATAATAATAATGCTCCACAAAGTTGTCATTAAATTGTCCTACAGATATTTCAATACTACCAAAAATGTTAATATTCAGTACCTGTATTAAATTACTAATTTCATATTCTTTGGCCTCGATGTTTTTAGAGTGTTAGTAATAACGTTCTTCTCTATTAGTATTATCAGTAACCTTCAACATCACTGATCATGTACAGTATATTATCTCACTTGACTATGCGTTGTTGGCCATGGACAGAGTGGCCGTCTTGGTCACTCCACATAACAACCTCATTATTCCTCTCCGTTTTTCTTGTTTTATTCACATACACACACGCACACACATAATCTCTCTCAGTTTTATGCGTCATATATATATATATATATATATATATATATATATATATATATATATATATATATATATATATATATATATATATATATATATATATATATATATATATATATATATATATATATATATATCACGTGTGAGGGAGAGAGAAAATATTTACACTCACAAAGTTCACCTAATTATAACATGAGCTTCAAATTGAGTAATAACTTCAGAAACCCTCAGTGACAATATAATTCAGTGGTGGATAAGATGTAAAAGACAATACAACTGGCTGATGAACACCAAAAACAAGACCAAAGGAGAGTTGTCGTTATTCCTGCGTTAAGTCAAGAGCACAATTATCTGTACCCGGTATTTCAGGCTAGTCCATAGTACATTAACATTACTGCTATAAGTATCAACAGCCTACATCAGGACTGTGTATAATTGTGAACAGAATTCCTTGGACACTTAAGGCAATATCTATCATCTACTTGAGAGGATTAGGAATTTAACATTAATTTTATTTTATTTTTCTTGGGATAATGCTTGTTGATGCGTATGACGTCACTAATGAACACCAGCTAGAAATATGATCCACTCGTAGGTGTCAGATATTACCAAGTGTTCAGGGACTTTTATTCACAACTGTACATGCCTGATACACTGTACATGTATGAAGAACAGTGAACAGATGCTAGCGGCCAGCAGAAAGGAAGACCCAGTGAGGATGGTGAAGAATACACTCATGTTTAGAAAATGATGGTGTACGTACATACTAGTGTACATATTAGTGGCTGCACCATGTTTTGAATGTGTACCTTTCATATGGATTCTCTAAACACAAACACTAAGAGACTCTGTAAACACAACATTAAGAGACTGTAAATGGCAGGGATACCTAGTGACAGCACTAAGATCTCGTTTCCTTTATCAAGGATTAAACATTGAAAATTAAAAGAAAAAAATGACTGCAAACATCCTGACCACTAGCACCTCTGTTTAGTACATAAGTGTACATAACATGACAATGTACATATTTGTTGCAGCATACATGGAGAGTACAATACAATGTACACATAACAAAGCATATTACAAATTATTCGTATGTAAACAGGGAAATTAGTTTTTTTCTTAACATGGTCAGTGGAATACGTTATAAGATACTACGCTAACAACAAAATTATTATAGTTTTAAAGTTGTCGCTATATTGCTTTTGAATCTTTATTTATGTGTGTGTGTGTGTGTGTACAGGACACTCATATACACACACAGGTCCCAAAACAGCATCGTGCCGACCTTGAAGTCCTCATGATTACTAAGCTAAGAATACAAGTCTAGTACACCTCAAACATAACCAAATATCAACATACGTGACAACAACATCCCGACACACCCCGAGTTTATACACCGACTTGGCCAGTGTTGGGGAGATACCACGAACATTGCCGCTAAACCTTATTAAGCACGACGTTGATTAACATTAAACCTAAACTAACACAGAGGATAGTTTAGGTTCGGTTGGTTCACATCGTGTATGAAGTTTATGATTTATCGGCCTTGGTGGTGATATTCGTTTTAATATTGAGGTTTTTTCACATATTTACCATCAAACATAAGGTAATTACGCTCCTCGACAGTTTGTAGCCTATTCAAACTTAAAATAAAAATGTTCATTAAAACTAACTCAACAAAAACAATAAATGCTATTATTGGAGAAATTTCAACTTAATTAGTATATAGAATGTGTCAGCGTTATTTAATGAGTGACGGGTCACAACCGAGTCGCTGACATCTACCAAGTGGAGTTTAACTGAACTGGTTACCTGATGTACACGCACAGACAACAGGTATAGATGGGCGATACAGTGGCGTTGATTGGTTAAGTCTCACATCAGAGAAAATGAGGGAAAATATCCTTCTGTGAGATTACCATAAATACAATAAACTATTTTTAATTTCTCTAAATGAGCACATAAAAAGTAATTATTTTCCCTATTGATTGAAATATAAATGTTTCGTTGTGAACATTTTATCTTTAATTTCAGTCGTTATTTAATAAATTTTGGATTATGTGCTCTAAATTCATAAATAAAATATAACTGATATTTAACTTTAAAACGAATCTCAAAATTTTCCAGTATGAGTTGATGAATTAACCAATCACCTCCGCCGTTCAACAATGTGTACCTGTTGTCTGTGAAGAACACAGGCAGCAAGGGACCAACAACACACTCCGACACTGAACCAGCAGAGCGATACAGACACACAGGGTCAAGATTCACGAAGGTTCATAAATTACATGTTCTTAGAGTTCTTGCATCTGGACCGTTCACCGTGCGAACCTTTGAGAATTTGGACTCGGAGTCTCTTTAAATCCGAACCCTGCAATATGTTCTAAATACAGGTATATAAGAAATGCTAAATACTTCTAAACACCTAACATACTCCTCACAAAAGCTGTATATTCCTCTATGGTGAAATTCCTTACTAAATTGAACTGTTAAAATATTCTTCTAAGGTGTTTAATATTTCTTAGTAATAACATAGCTAAAATGCTGTACTGTACCTGGTTCTGAACTAAGTCTAACAGTATTTTCTAAATGAGTGTAAATATTACCAAGAAAAATATTACTCAACATCCACGAGTGATTGTTCACAGTTTAAATACTATCCTGGCCTCGATGTCTCAAAGGTTCCTAAGATCAATATTCCTCCTAACTCAAGAAGTAAGATTGTGTACCTAACTGGTTGACCGAAAGCACAAAGAGATTCTGTACTTTGTTTCCTAACTGCTGCTAAATGAACCCGTCTAACTACAGTAAACTCACATAGTGTAATGTTTATCTGATTTGTATTTATTTTTCGTGTGTGTACCGCCTCATCACTGAACTAATAACATGATCCCATAAGTTCAAGACAAATGAACGTAAGAACCTCTTGAGAATCGGGCGCCAGGAAGGATATAATAACTTTAGCCTATAATAAACTGTACAAAAAGGGTGTAGATTCCTTGTACTTTGCAGCATTACCGCTGGTTATCTACTCGACGTTCCCCCTCACGCACATGGAAGCCTCACATCACTTGGGTTAAGTCCTTCGAAGTTAGTAAACATTAATATAAAGCGACAGTGAGAGGGTGAATGAAAAACAAATGAGTTTTTTTTCCATAAGATATTAAACGTTTGCATTTGTTCTTCCGTATATTATATATTAGATATGCCATATAGTTAGATAAAATGCCACATATATAACTAAAATACCATATAATGTACAGGAAAATGTCATAAACATTTGGGAACGATTCTCATTCTGTGACCAATCTCTCTGTCGCTTCACACTGGAAGAATTATTGTCGTTCACAGTGAAACTTTGTGTATTGTTCATTAATGGTAATCTTGACTTAACCTCTGAGCTGGTTTTGACCAATATTATTAAAGGTCACTAATGGATCACCTGTAGATTAACCCCCACCAATTATTTTCACTTTTTGATTCAACACCTTAACGCTACCTGGGGTCTAAGGATGGGTTAGGTTTCGTTAGGTTAAGTTGATTTAGGTTAGGTTGTTAGGTCACTTTAGTTTAATTTAGGTTGGTTTAGGTTACATTAGATTAGGATAGCTAAGGTGGTTGACTCTTAAGGTGAAATAATAAGCTAGGTGGCGAGGCTAATCTTCAGGTGATCCCGTCTACCTGTCTACTCACCTCGATCACCTGTGAAAATCTCAGTTAAGAAGTGGATCGGTAGTGGGGGCAAGAAGGGCAAGAAGCAGACATACTTGGCAATATACCTCATTTTCGGTGACTTTAACCACTGAAATTGACCCTACAGATTGACCTTAACCATTGAGCTTGACCATACATATTGATCTAAACCCTACATATTAACCTTAACCATTGAACGTGACCCTACAAATTGACCTTAATCATTGAACTTGAACCCTACACATTGACCTTAATCATTGAACTTGACCCTACATATTGACCTTAACCACCGAATTTAACCCTACAAATTAACTTTGATCAATAACCATAACTTGACCTTTTTCTTTGGGTGTTAAAACATGTATAGTTTTTTTTTTGGGGGTGAGCGTCTACACACACACACTCAACACTGCCTGCTGATGTCAGTATATTAGCTGCCATTCTAAACCCCGAAAATGGTGGCGGTGAGTTTGTCAATTGTGAGGAAGCAGCGAGTGGGTGCTGCTGAAGGTGTGTGTGTACAGTACAGTAGTTTAGGGCCTCCAGGCTGGGCTGTGGGTAGGTCGCACGTCAGGCATCATGGAAGTGCCGCACAGGTGCCTCAGGTCCGGGTGAGCGGTGGAGCCATTACGGTAGATTCTCTGTAGGTTGTGTAGTGACGTGGAGGACACAGTGCGTTCCAGGATCTGACGGAGACCATAACTGGGGTTTAGTGAGTTCTGACGGAGAATATAACTCATAACCCAAGATGCAAGAAAACAGACAACTGCTTACTTTAAGCTTGATGCTGGAAGTCTACCTACCTACAGTACATAAGTTTATTTAACAGAGGATATAATTTAGGCATTAAATATTTAGTAAAAGCTTCTCTACTATAAGTGTGTCTCCTATATGATGCAAAGTGAATGTATTTAGTAAGATGTTTTAGTAATCGTTTTCTGTTTAAGTCAACCAATTAGGTGTGTCCTCACAATTACCCAAATAGTTCATACATGTTATGACCTCATTCATTACACTGGATGTATCAAGGAGCCAATAAATAACTCTAAGGCCGAGACGGTCTTACCTCACCCCAGTATTTCTCCCCAACAGCCTCCAGGTCGCATGCGGCGTTGGACATGGCCGCCGGGGGTAGTCTCCCGTTAGGCAGGTGTCGCGGCGTGGCGTTGCAGCTGAGAGGTGCTGAGCGAGGAGCAGCGGCGGGACAGGTGCCAGCGTGACTCACTATGTCGTGGTGAGTGATAATGCCATGATGGGACACCTGAGCCAAACTCACCTCGTCGGAGTCGTCGTAATACACGTTCCCACAACACACCTGGAGGTAAACAACGACAATGTGTGTGATTATGAGAGCCTTTACACCTCACTTTAACAGTTCGGAGTCTCAGTCAAATCACTGTCCAGTCAACAAGTTATACTCACGCGGTTGTGTAGCGTCTCGTCAGTCGACCTCCGGAACGACGCTGACAACAACCACAAGATGAAGATGACGACTACACCACCGCCCACACTCACCACCCACACCCCGTAGTCCAGCCCACCAGGGATCTGCAACACCACAGCACTGGTTACTAACACATAATACACAGGGTTTACTAACACTCAATCAGGAGTTAGTGATGAAGGATAGTGAGGTTGGTGATAGATAGTGAGGCTGGTGATAGTGACTGACCCTGAAGTTAGTGATAAGAGGTAGTGAGTGAGGTTGGTGATAGTGACTGACCCTGGAGTTAGTGAGTGAGGTTGGTGATAGTGACTGACCCTGGAGTTAGTGAGTGAGGTTGGTGATAGTGACTGACCCACTGGAGTTAGTGAGTGATGTTGGTGATAGTGACTGACCCTGGAGTTAGTGAGTGAGGTTGGTGATAGTGACTGACCCTGGAGTTAGTGAGTGAGGTTGGTGATAGTGACTGACCCTGGAGTTAGTGAGTGAGGTTGGTGATAGTGACTGACCCACTGGAGTTAGTGGTGAGGTTGGTGATGGCTGACCCTGGAGTTAGTGAGTGAGGTTGGTGATAGTGACTGACCCACTGGAGTTAGTGAGTGAGGTTGGTGATGTTGACTGACCCACTGGAGTTAGTGGTGAGGTTGGTGATGATGACTGACCCTGGGTTAGTGAGTGAGGTTGGTGATAGTGACTGACCCTGGAGTTAGTGAGTGAGGTTGGTGATAGTGACTGACCCTGAAGTTAGTGATAAGAGGTAGTGAGTGAGGTTGGTGATGACTGACCCTGGAGTTAGTGGGAGGTTGGTGATAGTGACTGACCCTGGAGTTAGTGAGTGAGGTTGGTGATAGTGACTGACCCACTGGGTTAGTGAGTGAGGTTGGTGATGGTGACTGACCCACTGGAGTTAGTGAGTGAGGCTGGTGATAGTGACTGACCCTGAGTTGATAAGAGGTAGTGAGTGAGGTTGGTGATGGTGTTGACCCACTGGGTTAGTGATAAGAGGTAGTGAGTGAGGTTGGTGATAGTGACTGACCCTGGAGTTAGTGATAAGAGGTAGTGAGTGAGGTTGGTGATAGTGACTGACCCTGAAGTTAGTGATAAGAGGTAGTGAGTGAGGTTGGTGATAGTGACTGACCCTGGAGTTAGTGAATGAGGTTGGTGATAGTGACTGACCCACTGGAGTTAGTGATAAGAGGTAGTGAATGAGGTTGGTGATAGTGACTGACCCTGAAGTTAGTGATAAGAGGTAGTGAGTGAGGTTGGTGATAGTGACTGACCCTGGAGTTAGTGAATGAGGTTGGTGATAGTGACTGACCCACTGGAGTTAGTGAGTGAGGTTGGTGATAGTGACTGACCCTGGAGTTAGTGCAGGCGGCTATAATCTGCCGTATAGTCCAGGGAGTGATGGTGATGATGAATGATAGTGACACCACAGCCATCACCCTGCAGTTCCTTAGTCTCTCTCGGCGCTCAGTCAACATGGCCTGAAAATCATCAACTCACTTCAACAAAATTGTCAATATGAATGTTGGTAATAATCCTCTACCTAATTAAATAAAATAGGCTTATAAATCTTTTGAAATAGTACCTACACTTTTCAGTAATAGACCTACACATTTTAGTCATAGGCCTACACATTTTAGTAATAGAACTACACATTTTAGTTATAGGCCTACACATTTTAGTTATAAGCCTACATATTTTAGTTATAGGCCTACACATTTTAGTTATAGGCCTACACATATTAGTTATAGGCCTTCTCATTTTAGTTATAGGCCTACACATTTTAGTTATGGACCTACATATTTTAGTTATAGGCCTACACATTTAGTTATAGGCCTACATATTTTAGTTATAAGCCTACACATTTTAACTATAGGCTTACACATTTTAATTATAGGCCTACATATTTTAACTATAGGCTTACACATTTTAGTTATAGGCCTACACATTTTAACGATAGGTTTACACATTTTAGTACTGTAACGGGGTACCTCGGTGTCTTGTAGGGCTGGGTGCTTCCTCCTACAACGATGTGATGGAATTCTGTCTTCTCCGATCCACTAAGTTTCTTCACCACCACCACCAATGATCCAATAAGCTTCTCCACCAATGATCCACTAAGCTTCCCCACCACCAATGATTACTAAGCTTCTCCACCACCATCATTAATCCACCAATCTTCACCACCACCACATATCCACTAAGCTTCACCACCACCACTGATCCCCTAAGCTTCACCACCACCAATGATCCCCTAAGCTTCTTCACCACCACCACTAATGATCCACTAAGCTTCACCACCACTGATCCACTAAACTTCACCGCTACCTATGATCCACTAAGCTTGTCCATCACTGATCCACTACCACCAATTATCCACTAAGCTTCTCCACCACATGATCCACTAAGCTTCACCACCACCACTGATCCACTAAACTTCACCACCACTGATCCACTAAGCTTCACCACCACTGATCCACTAAGTTTCACCACCACCACTGATCCACTAAATTACCACCACTGATCCACTAAGCTTCACCACCAATGATCCACTAAGCTTCTCCACTTATGATCCACTAAGCTGCTCAACCAATGATCCACTAAGCTTCTCCACCTATGATCCACTAAGCTTCTCCACCTATCCACTAACCTTCTCCACCACTGCACCACCAAGGATCTCGGGAGTGCTGACAGTTGCACATACCAGTCGTTGAAGGGAAGTAGCGCGCGCCATGTGGAAGACAGTCCCGTAGCAATACATGGTCACCTGCCGAAGACACTTTCTTTGTGGGAAGTACTCAGTAAATGAGGCTAATAATAGGGAAGTACATAATAAATGAGGTTAATTATGGGGAAGTACACAGAAAATGAGGGTGATACTAGGAAGTACAAAATGAAGAATTTACAGTAAGAAAGTACGTAATTTATTTATTTCAGTGGAAAGTACCGTCAATAATAGAAAGTATTGTACACACCCAAAAAAATAGTGTTGATGAAAGTCCATTGTTATTAAACTGTCTTACAGGAAAGTACTTGTAAAATTAATTCATTGTAGAAAATTACATCATTATAATTACTGATCAAATTGTGTGGTTTATGGGAAAGTACATTTATTACTCAGGTAGGTAATAGGTAAGTACATATAATATACATCAGGTACTTACCATTGGTGGGGAAGTAGACAGTGCACGCGACCAGGATGACCTTGGCGTTGAGGGTGTGGTAGGGTTCACAGGAGTGGTTGGAGACGTGGTTGAAAAAGAAATGTGGCGTCGGTAGATACACAGCGGCGTGGAGCCCTGCACACGCCAACCATGACCCTACCACCACAACCACACACACCTGAAGCAACACGGTGTTATATTAGTGATTTACCACCACAACCACCACCCTACCACCACAATAACATCCTGTTAACCTAACCTAACCTAACCCAAATCATTCTAATCACCTCAACTACTGTTTGTTTCGTATCTAAACTAAATTAACTTACCCTATCCTATCCTATCCTATCCCCTGTACGTCCTTTTACCCTCATTTCATTAAACCTCTCTCTCTATCTCGTATCATTCCTCACAAATCTTCCCCCAACATTTCTTTCGTCTTCACTCCTCTCCTACGACTCTCTCTCTAGTCACCCGCCCAACCACCCACCCGCCGCCCATCATTCAGTATTCAGAATTCGTAATTTAGTTAGCCCATTCCCACTTTTTTTTATTCTCTGGCTTCAACATAGATACTCACCCCGGGAACAAAATTCTCGTTTTCTGTGAGTCATTATTTTTGATCAGAGAAAACGACTCACCATGGTGGGAAGAAGGATGAAAGGGAAATATATATATATATATATATATATATATATATATATATATATATATATATATATATATATATATATATATATATATATATATAAGTCGGAAACGTTTGATTGAGTTTTGAAAATGGGTTAAAGAGTCACAGCATGGGTTCAAAGTTGCATTAATAATATCATGGGTTTTAAATGTGTGGGGGGAGGGTTAGTAGTGTAGGGGGGGTTGGTAGAGGGGGGACGTAAATGAGGTGGTGTGGTGGCTATAGCTCGTCGGCATGACTTTGCACCCCCTGAATTGTCTCTGCACTTACACAAATATTCAATTGTGTTGCTGCAATATGAATGTTTTCCAAAATACAGTACACTGAATTTTAGTGTAGGACCTATGTTTGGTATGCCACTGATGTTTAGACTCAAACACACACACACACACACCCACACACACACACACCCACACACACACACCCCCCACACACACACACCCACACACACTGGTATAAGACAAGTTTTTCCCATAATTATTGTTTTATTAGTGCAATCAAATTGTACAGTAGAGTGTGTTACACGTACTGTATTGGCACTGCTAATATCTTGTGATACTTCTGTAGTAGTGTCAAGATCGTTACTTTTACTTACTTTTATCCTCTTCACCAGTGGTCGGCTCGTTAACCGCTTGGGCGATCGGTCACGTCTCTGATTACTTTTCCTTTTCATTTATCCTCTTCACCAAAAGATTGGCTTGCTAGCCGCCCGGGCGATCGGTCACGTCTCTGTCACGCACTGTTGGCAAGTACTGGGCATGCACCGGCTCTTGAATGTACCTGAACCCGCTCCAGTGTTGGTCAAGTCTTGTCTTGAAAGAGCTTGCACTCGGTGCCGTCACAACACTCTCTGGTAGATTGTTCCAAGAGTTTACAACCCTCACTCCGAAAAAGTTTGCCCTCACAGTTTTCTGGATTTGCGGCTTCTTTAATCGTGAGCTGTGACTTTCAGCGAGCGTCCGCCAGCTCCAAGGACACTAACTGAGTAGTGCCCTCTGAGATGCTTATACACCTCAACTAGGTCACCCCTTGCCCGTCTGTAGTATAAGCTAGGCAAGTTCTGGCGCTCCAATCTCTCAGGGTAGCTGAAGTGCCGAAGTGCATGCACCAGTCTGGTGGCCCTCCTTTGAACATTTTCAACCAACTGACAGTCCCTAGCATATCTCGGGGGCCAGACGGGGTGACAGTACTCCAGATGAGGAAGCACTTCACTCTTGAAGATCGTTACGAGGGACGGACCGTCTAGATATCTGAACGACCTTCTTATAAGACCCAATAATTTCTTTGCCTGGTTTACCTTCTTCTCGCAATTTTACAGTAAGAGAAAGCTGAACTGTACATACATAAAATACAGTACATAAAGGGATTAGCTGAATATTAGACACATCAGCTAATTTCACGTGATGATTAAACACCCTAATACTAATGGAATCTAATCTAACCAAACCTAATCTTAACCTAACCTAACACCTGCAGGTAGCATTAAGGGTGTTTAATCATCACGTGAAATAACCCGAGGTACCTAATCTTCAGGTGATTCCATAAAATAAACACTTGTGCAGTGACTGTCTATTAGGGATGTCAATATTGAGTACTGACTGCCGGCCTCCAGGATCACACACACACACACACACACACACACACACACACACACACACACGACTCGACAGTTTGGTCAGGCTAAACATAAGTAAACACGCACACTACTCAACACACACACGAGCCCGCTGAGGAAACAACACAGCAAAATTTCTAACTAACGAAACATTATATTTTTGACTGTACTGTACTTTATAATATTTGCGTTACTTTAAACAGAAAATATAAGTAATAAGTGTACATTAGAGCACTGACCGGCCTGGAGACGTGGTCGTTGTACTTGGCTGGGTGTAAGAGGCAGCAATATCGGTCGAGGGCGAGGAGGGAGAGTGTAAGAGCTGCCTGGTGGTGCAGGAGGGGCAAGAGGACGGCCTGACACCCACACACTACGGCAGGGTACGGCCAGCAGTGATGTGGAATGGGTACACACTACGGGCACCACCACCACGCCCTTCACTAGGTCACACACGCCCAGAGACGTGAGTAACCACCTGCGGCTGTCAAGAGAGAGGTGTAAGGAACGAGGACACACACACGCACACACACACACACGCACACACACACACACACACACACACACACACACACACACACACAGTTTATCCTAATGTAACAAAATACCGAACCTAAAAAAAACATTACGAGATTTCCACATGATATAAACATTCTTGACAACATCGTTCATCACACAATAGAAGATAAACACTGACAACATCGTACAGTCCTATACCAATCACGACAAAAAGTAACATTTATGCGACATTCAAATAGTCAAACGAGATGCCAAAAATAGCCAACAGTTCCCCTAGCAGCCAGTTGTCAACAATTGAAACGATAATTCGATGTAAGCGGAAAAGCCTCGGAAATAATTGAAACCATTGAATTTTCCGTATATCAAATTGGACTAGGATTAAATTGGACTAGGATTAAATGGGACTAGGATTAATGACTTTTACTTAGGAACGGATTAAAAGTGTTCATTCAAGTTTCCCCAGTAATTAATTTTTTCTAGACATCTCGAATATTTAAATAAAAAGAAAATGTATTTGGATACGGAAGGAGGGAGGATTATATAAATATTTAAATGCTGGGTTATTTAAATGTAATTAATGAACTTTGTGGACTTGTCGGGGGCTCTCTCTCGTTATAATTCATTAGTTCCTTTACAAGCCACGGACAAAAGTCCTTTCTCAATGGCACGGATTTTCTGTGCCTCAGAGGTTAGGTGGTCACAAGGCGCCAGGTGGGGTCCGAAGGGGTCACAAGGGAGCAGGTGGTGTTACAGGGGAGTCAGGTGGTGTCACATAGTTATCCGTGGGGTCACAAGAGGTGATAGTGGTCACAATGGAAAATGGTGATGGTGTTAGTGGCGTTAGTGACAGGAAAAAAACACACACACACACACACACACACACAATAATCCCAACACTTTATCAGGATAGAAGCGTGTTGGGGGCGCTGGACCAGAGCTCTCCGTCAACATCACATAACCTACTCCACGTCGTCCAAACAGAGTAACAGACCGTTTTGTTTACACTTCTATATCACAACGGCAGTAATATATAAGACCTTTTCATATATCGGATCATAAAGAGTAGTAGGGTAGGGTGGGGTAGGGTGGGGTGGGGTGGGGTGGGGTGGGGTAGGGTAGGGTAGGGTGGGGTAGGTAGGTTTAGGTAGGTTTGTCTCACACTCCACTACAATTTAATATTCTCGTCTCGTCAGCGGAATTAAGATAAATTGACTGTGAGGCCAGATATCAATACTGTATTCTCCAATGCTTCTCCTCTCCTCCCATTAATACTACTCTACTCCTCACTCCTGACCGTCACGTCACATCATCTCCCATTCCCCTCCACACCACCACATCCTCCTACACTCCATTACACTTCACCCCACACCACACCACCCCCACTTCCACTCCACACCAAACTACCTGCCCCTCCATTCCACACTATCTCCTCTCCCCACCACACTACCTCCTTCACAAAACTCCACCTCCCCTCCACACCACTTCCACCCACACCACGCTACCTTCCCCCACTCCACACCACTTCCACATCACTCCACGCTACCTCCACTCCACACCACTTCCACATCACTCCACGCCACCTTCCCTCCACCCACACCACTTCCACACCACTCAACCTCCCTCCACCATCAGTGTTGCACTCTACTTTCAATCACCATAACCGTTTATAGAACTTTAGTTAGGATCGTAAATCCTAACTTCCCCCCTGCCTCCACCACTGACAGTACATTCCCACCTGCCTCCACCACTGATAGTACACTCCACCTGCCTCCACCACTGACAGTACTTACCCACCTGCCTCCACCATTGACAGTACTTACCCACCTGCCTCCACCACTAACAATACATTCCCACCTGCCTCCACCACTGACAGTACTTACCCACCTGCCTCCACCACTGACAATACATTCCCACCTGCCTCCACCACTGACAGTACTTACCCACCTGCCTCCACCACTGCATATTACCTGCTCCACCACTGACAGTACTTACCCACCTGCCTCCACCACTGACAGTACTTACCCACCTGCCTCCACTGACAGTACATTCCCACCTGCCTCCACCACTGACAGTACTTACCCACCTGCCTCCACCACTACAGTACTTACCCACCTCCACCACAACCAGTACTTACCCACCTGCCTCCACCATTGACAGTACTTAACCACCTGCCTCCACCACTGACAGTACATTCCACCTGCCTCCACCACTGACAGTACCCACCTGCCTCCACCACTGACAGTACTTACCCACCTGCCTCCACCTGGCCACCTGCCTCCACCATTGACAGTACTTACCCACCTGCCTCCACCACTGACAGTACTTACCCACCTGCCTCCACCACTGACAGTGCCACCCACCTGCCTCCACCACTGACAGTACTTACCCACCTGCCTCACCTGACAGTACTTCCCACCTGCCTCCACCCTGACAGTACTTACCCGCTCACTCACTGTACAGTACTTACCCACCTGCCTCCACCACTGACAGTACCTGCCTCCACAGTACCCACCTGCCTCCACCACTGACAGTACTTCCCACCTGCCTCCACCCAGCCCACCTGCCTCCACCACTGACAATACATTCCCACCTGCCTCCACCACTGACAGTACTTACCCACCTGCCTCCACCACTGACAGCACCCACCTGCCTTCACCACTGACAGTACTCCCACCTGCACCACCCAGTCCCACCTGCCTCCACACTCAGTACTTCCCCACCTGCCTCCACCACTGACAGTACTTCCCCACCTGCACCGTCTACCACACGTCACCCACCACCGTCTGGAAGTGCTTCACTGTAACTGGGTCAGCCTGGGGGAGTGAGGGGGGGAGCGAGGAGTGAGGGCGAGGAGGAGTGAGAAGGGCAGATGGGGAGGGTCCGTTTCTTTATCTGTCTCCACTTCCGCCCCAGGGGCTGAGGAAGAACTGGAGGAGAGGAGAGGAGATGATGATGATGATGATGATGATGATGATGATGATGATGATGATGATGATGATGATGATGATGATGATGATGATGATGAGGAGGAGGAGGAGGAGGAGGAGGAGGAGGAGGAGGAGGAGGAGGAGGAGGAGGAGGAGGAGGAGGAGAGATGAGAAGGAAGGAAGGTGAAAGGGAGAGAAGGTGGAGGTGGGGAGGGTAGAGGAGGAGAGGGAGGGGAAGCTGTGGGAAAAGAGGAGGAGGGGGGAGCTGAGGAGGAACCTGGAGAGAGGGGAGGGGAGAGGAGGGGGATTTGAGTGGGGAAAGAAGATGAGCGGAACTGAGAGAGGAGAAAGTGGTGAAGAGGGAGGGAAGAAAGGGAGTAAGGAGGCAGAAGGAGGGGCTGGAGAGGAGTAAGAAGGAGGGAGGAGGTAAGGGAGAGAGGGAGTGAAAGAGTGAGCAAGATTGAAGGGAGGGAAGGAGGAGGGGAAGGAAGGGAGGTATGTGTGCGTGTGTTAGGTTAGGTTAGGTTAGGTTAGGTTAGGTTAGGTGGCCATTTTTTAACACGGCTGTGATTGCTTCACCTCTGGCGGCCACAGTTTTTCACCTGGGCGTTCGTTAACATCACACCTGGGCGTCTACGTTAATAATAGAAATGACGTTTATTTTTGTCTGTAACGCTCTTAGGTTGAAGGTCAGAGTGTGTCGATGCAGGTCACCAGATGTAGGCTAGTGTTGTCAGGTAGGCTGGGTCCTGCCGCTGGAGGTGAGGGTAAGAGGTGGGTGGCTGGGGGAAGGAAGGAAGGAAGGTGGTTGTGTCGGTAAGGACCTTGGTGGCCACATTTAAGCTATAAGAGTATTACCTGTAGTAAGTGAGTGTTCCCCCTGAGAGCAATCACAGGTGTGTGTTTAGACCATCAGGTGAGAAATACAATCAACCAGGTAATTATTGGAGGTGTTAGCAGCTTAAAAAATCATTAATTAATATAAACCAACACTAGACGTAAGAGAGATGTGAATGAGTGTGTGTAATGTAGTGGGGACTGAAGCCTCCTCCACACTCGTTCACATCCTCCTGAGTTTGGTGTTTTACATAAATGGCCGTCGGGGATGACACACACACACACACACGTAGAATGAGCTGTTAATGTGTCCCAGGCTAACCTAACCTCCTAGGTACAATGAGGGGGGGGGATGAGGAACAGGACACAGTTTAATTATAACTTTATAGTTTGAGATTACAAGAAGACTCGTTGCAGCTTATCTTGACTACGAGAGATTCTTGTCCCACCACACTGTTAGCTCTTCTTAAGGAGGGGAGGGGAGGGTAGATGTTTGGGGTGGTTGTAGTAGTAGTTGTGGTGGTGGTGGTTGTGGTAGTAGTTGTGTGGTGGTGGTTGTGGTAGTAGTTGGTGGTGGTGGTGGGTTGTGGTAGTAGTTGTGGTGGTGGTGGTTGTGGTAGTAGTTGTGGTGGTGGTGGTGGTGGTGGTGGTGGTGGTGGTGGTAGGTGGTGGTAGGTGGTGATGGTGGTGGAGGTCGTTGTCGGAGGTAGGAGTAGTAGTGGAAGTCGTTGTAGAGGTCGTTGAGAGAGGAAGTATTAGTATTGGAGGTCGTTGTGAGAAGTTGGAGTAATATTAGTGCAGGTCGTGGTGGATGGTCGTTGTGGAGGTCGTTCGTAATGGGAAGAAGTTGTTGGAGGTCGTTGTGGGAGGTCGGTCGTGGTGGTTCGTTGTGGAGGCCGTGGTGGGTGGTCGTTGTGGAGGTAGGTTCGTGGTTGGAGGTCGTTATGGAAGGTCGGTCGTGGTGGTTCGTTGTGGAGGCCGTGGTGGGTGGTCGTTGTGGAGGTAAGTCGTGGAGGAAAGGAGGTCACAGCATATCACTAATAAGACCTCCCCAAAAATTCTGCTGGAGACCACAATATTGATTAGCACCGATCTCTCTCTCTCTCTCTTTCTGTCTGTATGTCTGTCTGTGTCTGTATGTCTGTCTGTGTCTTTCTGTACGTTTCTGTATGTCTTTGTGTCTGTCTGTCTTAATGTTTGT